AAAGAGACACTTATCACAATTTGGTCCTAGCTACCGACCCTGGCATCGTCACTAACATCTTCCTTGACTCTACGTACACTCCTCCTGGTGAGTCCAACCATGATAAAATAGGTTCTTGGAGGTACAGATCGCTGAAATGACCAATCAGGGCCTGCTGTCTTCCAATGTTAATTTCTCAAAAATATCCTCAGAGCCTGTTGGCGATACGAATACATGAATATATACAATTTTTATTCGTTCATGTATATGTTTGTACGGCCAATCTACGTTGTTGTATATTATACACATGCGAGTAACCTAGAAAAGCCTATGAACTAAGAAACGATATGGATACAATGATAAGAAGTGAGGGTAATAGTGATCGCAACGAGTGTCGGTGTCCGAGGGTATATGGAAATTTGGGGAAGAGAACCGAGTCAATGATGGAAATAGAGGGAAACGAGTGAGATAGGTGTCCAAATGAAGCGGTGTCGCAAAGGGTGGTAAAGATTACAGAACCAAAGAAAAAATTCTATCACGTTTCCGAGGCGGCGTTGGAATTGGAATTGAAACTTCGGCCGGTTTCGATTTCGCCTTGCGCTCGATCTTGAGGTGAGTGGGTGTTTCGTACCAACCCTCATCCCAACATGGATTTGGGTCAATCTCCGGTTCGACAGATTTATCAGGTTCGCTCCAATATCCCCTCCTGATAATAACTTTGGGACCAGGGGCAACTGGATTGGCATAACGGTAGACGCACTCCGACTCGCTGTCCTCGTTAGGTTCTTTGAAGTTGACCTTTTGGTTATTGAAGCGAGGGAGAAGATGAGCACGAACAGGGTCGGACCCGGATTTGCTCTGCTGCTCTTTGCGCATCTCCCGGACCCTATCCCTGACATTTTGTTGTAAACACATGGAATGCTGATGTCTGTATTTAGACGTTCCTGACGGTGTGGCGTCTGCTTGCGCACTAGTTTCTACATGACACAGCGACTAGGAAAAAAGGAAGAGAAATCAGTAAGGGTTCGTTGGCAACCAACCGTGGGACAGAGGCGCATAAAATTGGACAGGGTTCAACAATAGCGCCACGTCTAATGATACGCACTATTTCGTTGTCTATTGTGTTCAGTCGAGCTAGCCTCTCTAGAGGGTCCTCGAGGATGTATTGAGGGACCAGGCCGCGCTTTCCTGTGTCCAGCTCCTCAACTCGTGCCATTCGCTCTGATATTTCGTCGACAATCTTTATCCTGGCTCCTTCAGCAAGCTCGATAGGTTCTGCCGCGTAAGGATTGTCCATATAGTAACCATATTTCGTAGGGAAACATTCGTTGGTATAGAGAATGTCATTCTCGGTTTCCCATGTAGCGAGTTTGAGAGGCTTGAGCTGCTGCTCTGCCTGCTCTGCCTGATCGAAACTCGAGTGAGAGGAGCTAGAGCTAGTGGGCGATGATGTGCTCGAGTTTGACTCGGAAAGATTTGAAGTGGACACAGGAGAGCAGGGAGATATTTCCTGAGTGGGTACAGGCTTGTGGCGCAAAATTGTTGTCAGAGAGGTGCGTGATATACGAAGTTCCATGGATAGAAACTTTCCCAACTTTATGGAGGAGGCATGGCTTGTTAGCATTCCGGGCGGGGAGTAGATGTTGTGTAGAGAGCGAACCTGTGTGCAGGGATTGAAAATGTACAATGGATGAAGAGTGGCCTTATATCTTCCAGCCAAGACGCCGACTGACAAACAGAAGCTATGCAACGATTCCATACAAAAGCCGACTTATTTCGGTTTCAGGGCAATGGTTACTATCCCTTTGACGTGCGGGAGTTCAAGTACCCTCGTACCTATGAGAGCTGTGTCGCCATCTTGTCTTCATCTTGTCCTTCCCTTGAACCTTCTTGATCGGGAATCTCCAGGAGATGTAACATGGGTCGGTGCACGTATCAACTAGACTAGATCACAGGGCAAAACATCGGCGTTAGAACCTTAAGATGACATTCTTCCGTAAGTAATGCCTATGCTGTGTGGCATCGTGGCGGTCATTCGGCGTGTCATGGAGATCATAGCCACGCCGACTGCCAATTTGTGCGATTGGGTAATTCTGACCTATCCAAGTCTTGAAACTATGTGGTTTTAGTCAATCGGAGTCGAACGCTGTGTTATGTATAATAGGTGATCGAGCGGGTGTACAACCTGCGTCCACACCCATGTACGTTCAATATCGCGATTGACACGAGCGTCTACCAGTCGTATAGAATTCATGAGACATTCCCATCAAGCTCAACGTTCAAACGTTCAATGGCGTACAGCAGTGACCCTAGTCAAACGTTCATTAGTGTTGGGAACACACGACACTGGATTTGCAGCAAAAATAAAAGACCCTTTTATGCACATGCAAATACTGACACCGCCTCATCCGTTGTGACAGTACAACACCACCTCAATGTGCAGCCATTCTCCTCCATCCAAATACGTCACCCCAGTTTCTCCACATACGGTCCACGACACGCATCTTTTCGCTCCTCCCCAACTCCGGATTCTCAAGATCCGCAATATCCTCCAAGAATCCTTCTCTCAATCTGGAATGTTGTGGCAAATATGAGGTGGCATAACTCCGAAGGTAGGTGACAGAGAGTAATAGAAGCCCGGAAGTCAATGGAGGGATTGAGGATGGTGACGAGGCTTGTTCCTGATTTTCAGGGGCCGTTACAGAAGAACCGGCATGATGAGGATGTTCAGATTTTGGCTGCGCAATGAGCAAACGCTCTATTCTCCTATATTCGGGTCAACTCCAATGTTAGTAATCATATGGTAATCAAAACGGAGGTCCAAGCTCGTGGAATAGGAGAATGCAAAGAGAAATATAAGAGGATATATTGGAACACTGGTCCATACTCACCGCATAGCCAGCCAAACCCGGATCCGTCGCTTTCTGCCACCGTACTTTCCGCTTCCCCGACCTCCTGCCCACATGGATCTGAAATATGATCCCACAGCATAGACAATAGTGAGCGCTGGGGCGACGCCAACAAAAGCAAATGTCAGCTCCTGGGATTTGAGCAACTTGTCAATCCCGGAGAGTGCCTGGTCAATGTCGACCTAGTTGTTATAATTGTCAGATGCGATTCTGAAGAACAAATGGTCGCTAGGTTACCTTTGCTTTTTGAATTTGCACAAACAACGTTCGTAGAAGGGTTCCGGCAATGGCGGATTTCAAAGGACTCTTGATGTCGTCTTCATAAATTTGCATTACTGGGGTGAGATCCCCTAGACGAATTTGGCTAGAAAGCGCGTGCAGCTGTTCTGGGGTATAATTGAGTTTCTCTTGAGCTAGAGCCAAAGTCATCCGTTCTAGCGACTAGGATAAAGTTGTATTAGTATGGGATACTAGGAGAATAATGATAGAAATTCACGTCTAAATCGGCCTTGACGCTCTGTTTTGTGACAATCATTCCATCCTCATCTGTCGTTCTGACAGTTTTGACGATATCTTTTAATGGGGATAATAGCCACCCGTCCCAGAAGCCACGGACAGTGTACCATGCTTCTTTGGCCATGTCATGTAAATCGTATCTACTAGCGTATGCGGATTTTGCGGCATACAAAGCCAACGGAGGTAAGAAAACAAGCCGGGGCCAGAGTCGTGTAAGGCGAGAAGGCCGTGTTAAGCCGCGAATATTGAGATGATTGCTGTGGAACGAGACATGCGCAGGGAGCGTGGTGTAGGCGAATGCATAGAGGGGTTGGAGGACACCTTGGTTGGGTGAGATGTTGGGGACCGATGCATTTGCAGCACCGAAATCACCACGGACAATATGCTGAAGTTGGTTGGAGAAATACGAGAGTCCCGCAAGACCTTCATCGTTCGTGTTATTTTCGAGAGCCAACACCAGTTGACCTCGCAAATCAGCGAGAGCACCAAGGACCTCGGCTCTTTCGTTCCGTACTTTCTCTAGTTCGTCACGTTTGTAACGAACCTCGTTATGCACGAGATCCAAGGGGAACATCACTAACGTGACAATATTCCTGTACGTATTTTTCAACGTCCCGAAGAAAGCATGTATCACGGATTCCGCGTCTGCACGCAATGATCTAGACAGTGAGGGTGCACGAGGCGTAGCATGGAGTGAAATAGAGAATGGTTGATGCCGGAGATAGGGAAACAATGCGATTGTGAGGGTATTGGGGCGCAGAATGTTGCTTGATGGGAATAGCTTGCGAAGAGAAGACGGTGTCAGAACTGAGAGATGGAATGGTAGGTTTTGGCTGCGTAATGTGATTAGGATGGTTCGTGATAGATTGCCTAGACGTCCGGGGAGAGCTGAGGTATAGGATAAATTAGTACTGCTATATGGCAACTGTGTTTCTGATAATAGGTACAGGTTGCGGTAGCATTCCGCCTGCGACTGTCACATTTGTACATGCTGCAGTACAACACTACAAATAGTGACTAAATCATACGACAACGCGAAATGTTCAAGCACGAAATGAATGGTACGCACTCTGCAAGAGGTAATACCCAACATTCAATCTTGAACGGCCGATATCCGCCCACCACTCGAGTTCGGTCTCTGCATTGGTGGCTTCTTCCAAAAAGATATTGAGTGCCTGGCAGTATAGACCAATTACGAGTTTTCCGAGGATCGCTCTTCGCAGAGTAACCTCTTCCTCGTCGGCTGTGCGTGTCAGTACACCTGACTCCGAGTCTAGCTGCTGCAAGTCTGTCAGGGATTCGCGTGCATCATATAAAGTCGAGGGAGGTGTGAGTTCAAGAAAGAATGTGCGGAGTGATTGTTTCGTAGGGGATTGGGATTGTGAACTTGGGGTCGGAGTCGAGACTGATGTGTTTGGTGGTAGTACTTTTACCAAAAGCTCGCGATCTAGTTGCGAGACAAAAGTGGACATACCAGCGACTCTGTATCACACAGAGATGCAAATAACCAGAACTTGTACTGAAGTTTGGTCTGAACACCGTTGGTAGTGATGTCATCAACTTTCAATCCCATGGAATCTGGAAAATAAAACAGCATGCTCCCAGTGAGGTTCGAACTCACGACCTCAAGATTGCGTAAGCAGTGCTTACTCATATTCGAAATATGAGACTTGCGCTCTAACCAGCTGAGCCATGGAAGCTTATTTTACAACGTTCTTGACCAATAAAAGTTTTTTTTTGCTACAGAATGTCATTGTATAGGCTTCCCTATGATCTTGTGAGATGTTTAGGACGAAAGAATCATATAAATAGCTCCAGATGCGATGTACAGGATGAAAGATCATAGAGAGACTTGCAGAGGAGACGATGTTGTGGCAGCGATTAAGTACCCTCGGCTGTAAGTTCGACTCCCGGTCTGGTATTTTACTTTGATGATGTGATCATATTACTTTCGAAATTCGAATGGGAACTTGAATATCACTCCTAAGTACCAAGTTACCACCAAACACATCAGCCGTATCTCCTACCCTCAGTCAGAGCTGCAGTCATGTAGGATGTACGATCATCATCTCCGATAATAGAGGCACTAATGAAAGATGAGTATCATTCTATTTAGCATTCAGGACTATTTGTTTGAAACTATGTTTGCCCAAGAGTAAGGCTGCTCAAGTGGAAATCCTGGGATAGAGTTACATATGTTGTCGATCTCAAGTGATCTCCACTTCGGCGCCGTGTGTTAGTCTCAAGCTCTATACTAATAGAGATGGACACAACCTCCTTTTTCTGCCGAAGCGTACACACCCTCACGTCAGATACCATACATTGGAGTCTGACGTCATTAGGAACGATACCCATGCGAGACCGACGCGAGCGCAAACGCTTGCTATATAAATGAATCCCGATTTGAACGCAACCATCATTGTACAGGCCATTATGAGCGGGAGTGCACCGTCTTCGAGTCCCTTTCTTGTTCCTCAATTTTCGCTCAAGGACTATGGATCCTTTTTCACCGCAGGTATGAATTTAGATCTTCGTATTACATGGAAGGTTTCACAGTATCTACAGGGGCATTATGTTGCACGTTTGTCATTTCAGCATATCTGGCTCTACATTTCTTTACAGAGGTAATACAGAATCACCCATGGAGGCATGACACCGATAGATGTTGTGAAAACGCGCATTCAAGTCGACCCCGCACTAGCACGACATTCTCTTCTATCGGGGGGTCGATATATTGTCGCCAACGAGGGACCTAGAGCACTCCTAACAGGATTCGGACCCACCGCCGTAGGATATCTTGTACAGGTACGCACCGTCCTTCTCAATTTCCCTCCTCAGATTACGCACTAACTCTCGCCACGATAATAGGGTGGTGCCAAATTCGCCGGATATGAGTATTGGAAGAAGGCGTTTGTCCAGGTCGCTGGCGATCAGGAGTCGGCTGTCAAATACCGTACCGCTATATACCTCGGAGCCGCTAGTGTAGCAGAGTTTGTTTTTCACCAGTGATTCGCATCTCTTCGATATTGACACATTGGCCCATGTAGATTCTTCGCTGATATCCTACTAACACCTCTAGAGGCTACCCGTATCCGTCTAGTTTCTGAACGAGGTTATGCCTCTGGTCTAGTGACCGGCTTCACGCGGCTAACGCGCGAAGAAGGTGTGCGTGGACTCTACTCAGGTTTCTTGCCTATCCTCTGCAAGTGAGTTCCTAGTAGCCAATAGCTTTGTCTGTTCGAGAGGCACATTACTAATCAGACTTGTTGGGCCGCAGACAGATCCCATATGCCATTGGGCAGTTCACCGTAAATGAGTTCTGCCATGAACTAGCCTTCCGTTCCATGTCGGAGGAAACTCGGAGAACGCTCAGCCCGACTTCGAAATTTACAATCAGCTTAGGCAGTGGAATCATAGCTGGTTTCGCTGCAGCTATTCTCAGCCATGTGCGTCACTCTTTTGTAAACAGAACTTACGACTCGTACTAAGCACGAATTACTGAACTAGCCTGCGGATACCCTCCTTTCTCAAATCAACAAAGGTCACGGACCCGAGGGATCCATGGCTCACCGACTTACTATCCTCGCTAAGCAAGCGGGGATTAGAGGTTTGTTCGCCGGTCTCGGTCCCAGGATGGTGATGACCGCAGGATTGGTCTCCGGACAGTTCTTACTTTATGGGATAATCAAGGACGGTACGTGCTTTACTAATATGAAATGCAGTATTAGCACCGACACTTATTCATACTCATCAGCAATGGGCGCGCCGCCAGGATTAGAGATACACAAAGAGTAATCCTAATTAGAGTGTCTCTTCGCTTGTAAGTTAGATGTTGTTTGTCGTTTGTATAGATATATCAATGTACATTTGATTGGGTGCAGTTAATTGAGCTCCCTATGATCATCCTCCATCAGGTTCGCTAGGCCCTTCCAAGATCTGATCCACCGCCGCCATCATAATATCTGCCTTAGCCATAATCTCTGCGTCTCCATCCTCTTCTTCTGACTCCATTCCTTCCACATCTTCCGGAAACATAATAACATCGCCCGCGTTCATGCCTCCTCTGAACATCCCAGGATCCTGCTTCAGAATCTTTGTTCGCCACAGCATCTCCAATGCCCTCGTAAGTTCCATCTGATACTCGTAAACCATGTCCTCGACGACAAAATCAGGAAGCCATGGTGGTAGTGCACAGGGAGTGATTCGGGTATGAGATCCTCGGGCGATCTGGATATTAGGATTGTTCGGCGAGTAGAATGCGGGAGCGGGTTTGATGGACAAGCCACCGTCGAGAGGGAGGTGATTGAGGAGTTCGGCACAGATTGGACAGCAACGTTGGGATAGACCGATGCTATTTGCAAGATACTGGAGGAACAAGTCAATGCAACTCAATATAACAACGTGGTTCTTGACTTACTGTAAACTCGCCCAAGTCAGCCGGACGGAAAAATTCCTCGCAAGGTGGGTTCATACATTGGCCCGAATACACTAACGACGAGATGGCAGCTTGACAGTGGAGCGCGCCTGTGAACTCACACCTACTCAACGGTTGATCTGGCTGGAAGGCAGCTTGCACTGGATCCCATTCTTCCCTCGGAATCAATGTGCCTTCCAACAACTCTATCATCGTCTCAGAACTACACCCCTCTCCTACAAATGCAAGCTGAAGCTCCCTGACAACGTCTTTCCAGGGCGACATCGTCTTCGGAGCGTACTTTAGCGTGAGTATCTTGAGGATTTTCTTCTCTTGGGGGAGAAAGCGGGGAATAGCCATCGAGAAGACGTGATCCGCGAATCGGCATGCTCTAAAGTAAATCGTTTGGTGCTGAAGCCATGAGACGAAGATGTCCCTGTCCGAGTTGTGATATGGCCAGCCAGGAGAAGTCGAAAGAACAAGTTCTATGTCCTGATCATCTATATCGTACGAGCAAGTGGCACCCGAGTCTTCTACAAATTGCAGAACCTCATTGTGAATACGTCTGTAGGCGTCGATGTTAGCTTCTACGTGCCAAGCGAATGAACTCGATTGTGCGATCGCCCGTAATGTGTCACCATAGAGAGCACAACGTCTAACAGCTGCGACAAAGCCCAAATCATCTGTGCGAATGTTTTGAAGTACATGTAGAGCGCTCCTGAATTCCGTTAGGGCTACCCGAAGCAGGCTGTGGAACTCTACATAGGTTTGGAGAGTATACAATGGTTGCCTGAACCCTGATGCCGCAGCTCGAAGTTGAGATACCTGAATCCCAGACTCGTTAACAATTGTATCCATAACATAGGCATCATTTAGGACGTTCTGCAAGAACTCGTCGTCCTCGTGCCAGAAAAGAGTGCCGCCCCCGTGGAGGCCGTGACTAGGTTCGAATGCATTGCTTGTCAGCGCAGAAAAGAACGGAGTAGAATATCGAGCATCTGTCATTCGACGAAACATTTTGGGATGTGTCTGTGCGGTGACATATTCCAACAGGCTGGTACCATCCCCAGGAAGACCTAGCAAGTCGAGGATATTTTCGGCATGCTCAACAAAGCTATCAGCAGACCTGTTCGGAGTCACAGAACGTCAGTTGTTCAATAGGAATTTAGGTTAAACATCATCGTACCATTGCGCTGGTGCGAGATCTTCAGAGTGGGTATCGTCCGGAGTACCTTGTTCAGAGTTATCAGTACTCGTTAGACGGGATCCTGCCGAGCCGGCGTGATCAAGTAGACTTTGATCGTTCTGAACGAAAACGACGATTTGGAGCTCATCCACAGTAATTCGTCGTGTTAAAGCCACGATCTCATCACCCCTCGAGAGTAGAGTGGCAAATGCATCCGAGCCTTTGAAATTCGCATTCCTTCCTTTCCCTCTAGGCGATTCCGTGGTCGAAGAGACGATATCCCGATGACGAAGTACTGCAAGCATTGACGTGATCGTTCGAAATTTCTGAAGCCATTTCTCCCGTTCTTGGGACGAAGAGAGTGTCATCTCCGAATTGACACCAGCATCTTCGTCAGACATCAGTTAGAACTTGAGAAGGTGCGACTTCTGCTCTGTCTCGTGCTTCCTGTCGCCACTGTGCTTCGACGGTGTTACGAGACTTCTACAGGACGTTTCAACACGTGGGGACATGAGGTAAGGAGCATTTCGAGGTTTGTTACTCAATTGACGACTACAGCGAGCATGATGTGGGTGACTATTTGTGGAAGGACCTACTCTCCGTGAGCGTCTCAAGGAGATCCGATGGCATCATAACGGCCGATCTACACTTGGACTCGAACTATCATACCCTTTCAGAGGACTTTTTAAATATTTCTACTCAGCTAAGACACCCCGCTCGATTTATCTTTCTCATGTGGTAGCATGATCCGCCATCAAGATGCATACAGTTTCTGCTTCGGGCTGTACCCTGGTCGAGTGACCGAGGGCCGGGATCTTTATCGACCTCTCAATACAGTGGCTTCACGAATTTCGTGACGAGAATGCGGTCTTGGATATCATCTCCGAGATCAAAGACGGGTTTACCTGGGATCAAGATGTCTCCTTATAACACTGGGTCATTTTCTATGTCGATAAATAGCACGAGTACATACGACAGTCGCGCCCTGTTCTATTACCTGCGACTCTCTATCAGTTTCTCCCCTCTCACTGAGGGACTATCACTTAAACCTCTCAATTATTTACTTCGAAATCATCTCTACGCTTACTGCTGCCCGTAAT